TGTCCACCGATGTAGGAATTTTTTAATGCCCGGAAAATTATTTTATAAGAGTGCTCGTTGTTAATCGGATCTAAATTACCATCCTACCACGCGTGACAAACTACTAATTCCCTTTGTCATACAGCTGATTACGCGCAGCTGTGATTACCTATTTTTATTTTTTATTTTCACGATAGCACTAAGTTTGTAATGAAAGGGCCCTTTGGGCCTCAAATATATAATTCATTTATTAAGAGTTAAGCATAATTTCAAAATGCCTAAAATTCTTCTCCGTTTTCCAACCATAGCGGTGGTCTTCGAGGTCACTATTAATGGCCATCGTCTGTTCTTACGTTGTCACCAACTTTTCGGTGAACTCTGCAGTCTGGTCATTGCATCTCGGTGATGTTGCCTTGACTTCCACTGTCCCCTCCTTGTTTTTACCCTGTTGTCCCCGACAACCCTCCCTTGTCTCACCGACATGATGCTGTATTACTTTTTCCACGAAAATAAGCGTTCGAACCCTCAACATCAGGATCCCATCTAACTGCATAATATCATACTATATCAATCTAACTACCTATTTAGGCAGTTTTTTGGAACTCGGTGGCTCACTGAATTCTGCCACCAAAGTAGGAGTTTTTATTGCCTAGTGACTATTATTTTATAGGAGAGTTAGTTTTTGATCGTATCTGACTTACTATCTTACTACGCGTAACATACTTCCCCTTCCTGTTGTTATACAGTTGCTTACGCGCAGCTGTGATTGCCAACTTTGTATTTTTTACGACAGCACTAAGCTTGTAACAAAAGGGCCCCTTGGGCCTTAAGTATACAATGATTTAGTATTCCCCAGGATGCTCGTTTGGTTTCCGAGAACATCACAAAACCATTGATATAATATCCACCACCTAGTACTTACAAAGAAAATATCAGGATATGTGGAATTACGCCTGCCCTAACTTCGTGGAGCTGGTGAAGTTCGTACACACGCGAATTACGATGTACTTCGGAAGGTTAAGCAGAAGACAGTCTTTTTTTAGCTTTTCACACAAACTGTTGTCTACTCTGCGACGACAAGCTGATAGGCGTTGCAGTTAATAGAATAGTTTCAGAAGCATTTTCAGTGGCTAGTAGAGTGACACAGAGCTGCGTCCTCGTTTTTTAAGCCTCAAGTTTATTGATTTGCCAAAGGACATTTCTGAGGCTGAACGTCTCGTGCTCAGCATCCTTTACAGGACCTTCATCCAGCTTCTCACCACTCGACGAATGCAGGCGTTCACGTGGACTTCAACAATCACCGTCTATGAACTCATATTTGTGGACGACCATGCATTCAATTCCGCGATTGAAGTAGCTATGCAAAGAAGTCTTCGATATGCTAAGTTAGAGCCGAACAAATGATGGGGTACACATAAACCATTCACCGATAAAACATAAAACGACTCTTGCATAATTTTAAAGTATTTGCGATTGCAAACAGTGACTATGTTGTGTAAGTAAGGCAGGATTTCTTCAAGCACCTTGAAAATTGACGGTGAAAAGGCCCTCTGTAGATCCAAATGCGAATCAGGTATTCAGCGTAGTGACCCGAGATTGCGCCGCTGAATCCGAGAATCTCATCTGCCACTTCTTCCCTCCTACGGCCCATCGTCAGCCGGATATTCTGGTTTCGGATAATGGCTGCCAGTTTACCTCATCGAGGGTTTCTGACACCAGCATCACATCCAACACCTTCGTTCCCGCCCCATAATCCCAAATCAAACGGCCAGGTGGAACGTTTTGTGGACACATTCAAGCGAGCGCTCTTGAAAGCTCGTCGAGAAGGGTATTCTGACAAAATACTCCAGGCATTCCTACTTTCTTATAGGAGCACCTCTGACACGGCGTCCCCTGAGGGCGTTTCCCCTGTCGAAGCCTTGATGGTCTGGAAAGTACGAACAAAGTTTCACGCACCGTTTCTTATCAACGCGCCGACATCGCAGCCAGGTCTATCTGTCTCTCGCGGAAAGCTTTCCATTGGAACATTCATCTTCGTTCACAATTATCGAACTGGGTTCCCAGACTGGATAAAGGCGAAAACAGCAGCGCACCGAGTCAGCATGCTATTCACTGTCTGCGTCGGTGATGACACCTGGGTTAATCACCACAATGAAATCGACTGCGGCAGTCTAGTAACCCAATTAGACCTGAATCAGGTGCCCCACACTTCATCAATATCTTGTTGGACACCTTTGTCTTTCCAGCAGTACAGCCAGTTCCCGGACTCAATCCTGTACCCCTTTTGGATGTACCGCCTACGGTATCAGTTCGTGCTCCCGCACCTGTAGACCAAAAGCTGTCATCAATACGCCGGACCAGCCGCGTTTGCCGAAAAAGGCGACCCATACAAGTCAATTCATGCCATAAGCAGTACTGACTCACTTTAAGAGGAGGTGTTAGAAATGCCACGCTGTTGCCAATAGAGCACGCGGAGTAGCTATTGATCTCACATTAGACCTGATTGATCCCTGTGCCTGCACTTTGTCATCGAGCGAGTTAATAAATGTACGCAGCCTTTGTGGGAGTGGCATGATATTTTTGTTAATGCAGCTATCCGCGTGGCTGACTGCCTTCTCTTCCTCTCTCGTGCTGACTTTGGGAACAACGGTCGGGCAAGCTCATAGTTCAAGTTACTTACAAGTTAAGTACGTGGGTCATAGCAATATCAAACTCTGGGGGTTCTGCCGTCGACTTTGCCAACACTTACCACGTCATTTATCCCTATCACAAGCAGAATATGGTTATCAGCATAGTCTAACGGGCTACAGAGTCAAATCACGAGGAAACTGCAGCCTATGAACACAAGGGTTCCAGTTCGGAAGTTTTTTAGAGCATTTGACGCGTCAAAATAGCTAAAGTGCCATTTCTTAAGACGACTGGAACAAATAAGAGCCTTCACCGCTCACTCCTTTCTAAGTAATGACCGTGCTTCATCGGATATAATACAAAGCATTCGTTTCAGTTCTGAAATCGAATATATTCCTACACTCTTATTTTAACTTTTCTGGACTCTTAATAATTTCCTGGTCGTAGCATGACCAGTTCTAAAAAATAATGGCAAATAAAGTCTACTGTGATGTTATTTACATCTAAAACGTGCCTTTCTTCTCATTATGTATATGATGGCGATTGAAAATCGCCAGAAAAAGTAGGGGGGATGGGAATGACCATTTTTCTCTCATTGGCCGTCATCGGCCAGTCATACCCAACTCCAGGTGTCTCACCATTCGAAGCTCGAACCCGTGACCTGTTGCTCGGAAGTCCAACCATTTTAGCCACAGACTCGTCTTCTCGTCGATTTATATCGGGAATATTGATTTTCGTTAATAAACTCGAAGTGATCGTTAACGGAACTCCCTTTCCGCCTTGGGCCTAACTCTCGGGCCCCGCTAGCAGCAACACAGTGGCTAGTAGTGCAGGCAGATGAACATTGCCGGCAAAGACAAGAAATACTGGAATATGAATTGCTGACTATAATAAATAAATAAATAAATTTTATATTTAAGGCCCGGAGGGCCTCGTCATTGCAAACTTAGTGCTGTGGAAAAATAAATACAAAGTTGATAAAGGCTGCTTTCTGTGAAACAACCACATAGGCAGCGGGTGCGTTTAGTAGTGTTGGTAGATTCCTAGTCATTGCAAACTTAGTGCTGTGGAAAAATAAATACAAAGTTGATAAATGCTCGTGAAAAACCACATAGGCAGCGGGAGCGTTTAGTAGTGTTGGTAGATTAATTCATCGTGCTGTGGAAAAATAAATACAAAGTTGATAAATGCTGCTCTCTGTGAAACAGGGAATACAAAGTTGATAAATGCTGCTCTCTGTGAAACAACCACATAGGCAGCGGTAGCTTTGGTAGTGTTAGCAGATTGATTCATATTCACCAACATATCGTCGTTTTAAAATAGTAGTCAAC